GCTGGGACCCTCTCCCTCGGCCCCTCAGCCAGGCCTGGCTCGGCCCCATAGCTGGCACCCGCTGAAAAACCGCGTGAGACCTTGAGGTGGCCTGGCCTGGTCCTTCCTACCATTCCGGCGTAGTAGGCAGGGTGGTATGTGACATAGTTTTCCCAAGGATTTTATCTTAGGCCTACTCTTTCTGTTGCCTGCACATATATCTGTTCACTGCACTGTGGTGTGTTCATGGCGGAGTTTGTCAGAGTCCCTATTTATAATCCATCTTCCCGCTCTTTCCAGGAAAATAAAAGTTGAGTTCTTTCCTTCCTTTATCTGAACATGACACATACACACCCTTTACCAACTTCTTACTTCATATCCAATCCTCTGAATGTCAGATGGTAACGTTATGCTCTGTGGGTGGGAGAACCCCAGTCGCTGCTCACTTCTGACCCTCTGAAACTTTTTTTTTTTTTTTTTTCTCAGATCAGTTTCCACTCCTAACAACAAAGAGGGTATTCTGGAAGGGAGTGCTGGAGGAGCTGCTGTGGTTCATCAAGGTTTGATGATTGGATGCCTTTGTGGGTGGTGTGCATGAGAGTGGTGTCAACAACGAACTAGTGTGGGGCGGGTTAAGGAATTTGGGTAACTGCAGATGTTTCTGTTTCTTTGACAGAACAGAAGAAATGCAACCACCGAATAGTTTGATGACACAAGGAAAGCCATTGTCTTCAAGACATTCTGTATGTTTTAGTGGAGACTATTGCATTGCCACCAATCAGAAGAACTCTTTTTAAAGGAAATAGTCTGAAATAGTGAGGTCTTTTGACAATGTGCCTATACCCCACAGCCTAGTACAGTCCCTATTATTAGTATTTGAATAAGAAATAATAAGATGAAGTAGATTGTAGGCAATCTAATGATCTTTTTAATATTGAGATAGCTTTTACTCATCTGAACAGGAACAAGCATTGTGGAACCACAGGTGAGATAAGACTGATGTAGACACTAGGCTTCTTAGTGGCAAAAACCTGAGATCTAGTAGAGCCGATAGCTGTAGTTAGAGTATTAAAATTCAACTGTAGATAATACATTGCAATGTAAGTGTTCCTTTAGGTGTTGTGACACCGTGCACATATGGGAAAGCCTTCCTAACCATTTGCTAGATAGCAGGAGTCTCATACACATTCATCCTTTTAAAGTATCTTTTTTTCAAATATAAAAGACTAGTCACTCCCCAAAACAGAACACTTTGTTGGATTTTTGAGTGTGCTGATATGGACACATTGCAGAACTCAGTGTGATTTCTCTGGGTCTTTTTGTCATATCTGTCATTTTAACAGAAGGATTTTTAAGACCTTAAGCTCATTATACATGGCTTGGCAAAGACATTACCTAGGCTGTAAATGTTTTGTTTGTCTGTGTGCTGGTTTCAGTCAGAGTTAATTTTCTTCAGAGTGGCTGGTATGATTTGAGTGGCTGTTTTGGATTTGCCCTGAGAATAGTACTGATAAGGTGGTTTTTAGTTGGCGGTAAGGAGCGCTCGCACCAATTCAAGGTCTTTTCCCAGCTTCTGGTACTGCAGCTGTGTTCCCAACTTTTTCACTACAAGCAGTGGGGACAGACACACACATAGTTCACACAGCTCATCCAAACTAACTGAAGGAGTATTTCATTCCATAGCACAGCATGCTCGATACATAAGCCAGGAGTGGGCCAGGGGGCCATAGCTCGCTTGTTTGTTAGCTATCTTTTTTGTATAGCTAGCTTGCTCATTTGCTTGTTTGTTTGTGTGTTAGCTAGTGCATTCATTAGTGAGTTGGTGGGTTGGTTGGCTTTCGTGGACTCTGAGTCTCACTGTTTGGGACCTGGCTGTGTATTGGTCAGCAGGTGACGAGCTACTGTATTGTATGTTCTATTTACTATTATTTTACTTACTTATTATTAGTACTATTATTGATATTATTAGTATCACTATAATATTCACTTACGTTCAATTATTAAATTGTGCTTATCTCAATCCATGAGCTTCTTTGTCTTTTCCTCTGATTCTCCTCAACTGGAGGCCGGGGGGGCAGAGGTGAGCGAGTTGCTGTGTGGTACTTAATTGCTAGCCGAGGTTAAACCACGGCAGTCTGCTTTTATCCAGCTGTAAAGTAAAATGTTCTCTGCAAATATGTGTATGAAATGATAAATCACAGCTGACCTTGAGACAAAACTGTTTGTGCATTCACAAAGTTAGAAGAATCCCGAGTTAAATAACAGAAGCATAGCACTTTGAACTTCATCCCAGTATGTTGCTCATAAGTTTTATTCTGTCTGTGTGCAAGAACCTCACTGACTGCGTTAATCAAACTGTTCATCCCTTATATGTGGAGAAGTACTGTAGGCTAGCAACGCTTAATACGTCCGTTTCAAATCATATCCTCTGTGTTGGGATTAAGAGGTAGACTTCTTACTGTCTGTGTCTTGTAGGGTTCTACAAATACCAAAGAGCTCTCTGCAAAGGGTGTGAAGATTTGGGATGCTAATGGATCACGTGAGTTCCTGGATAAGCAGGGTTTCAGCACCAGAGAGGAGGGGGATCTGGGACCAGTTTATGGTTTCCAGTGGAGGCACTTTGGAGCAGAATACAAAGATATGCACACAGGTAATTGCATGCAAAATCTTGACCGCTCAGTGAGATGACTGGCACCTCACATCTAGAATGCCAGTGCAGGGTCCTAATTGCCGTGATACAGTTGTGCTGGCAAGAACTGATGTTAGTGCACTGCATTCATGCAGCGGAGGGTGTGGAAGAGAAAGATTTTTCCATTCTGCAGCTGGAACAAAGTAGGATATATCCATAGCTGATGTTGCTGTGAACAGAATAACAGTAACAAATTCTGATGTGATATAGTACCTGTTGGTCTTATTTTTAGTGGAACTGGTTCATTAAACTTACTCTGAAGTGTCTTGATGGCTCTTTTCTAAGTCACTGAAGGAAGAGGATATACAGCATGTGTAGAGGACTATCATTAAAAACAGTGAGTCATAAAATATTGTCTCTGTGTGGTTGGTGTTATCTTTAACTCAGAGTAACAACAAGGTTCATTATGTTGTTTCCTCTTGGTGTTTTGTCTGTGCAGTCTCAAATTAAAGTCCACATTAGTTGCAGATATTAGACTTAGTGTTGGCATGTTGACTGGTGGCAGAATACAGTTTTATGCTAACACAGATGATGCAACTGGTGAAGTGACATGTCTGAAAAACTACTAAAATGTTTCAGCATTCCTGAACTTAAAAGGTCTGAAGCATAACGTGGCTTGGAAAAAAATGAACAAGATAAATTCCCATGGGTTTCATTAGTAATAGATTTCCTCAAAATGCATTACTAATGGATAGGCAATTAGCTTCAAGAACTAACATAACCGTTTGAAAAGGCTTCTGGCACAGTATTGCTGGCAGAAAAATTCCCTGAGATGCTAATTCTGTATTACTACCTTGTTTGCCAGCTTGGGTCTCCGGGTAACCATCATTTGGTGTTGCTTTACGATAAGAGTTATTAATAAAAATTAGTTACCAGCCATGCTGAGTCACTGGCACGAGTCAGAAAAATTAGTAACAACTAACGACTCTTTTATTCTGGAATCCATTCTAATGTTCAGTTAATTCCCATGATTTTCTTCTATAACTGGTATTGAGGCTAAACATCAGCCTGCGAGCGTCATTGAGTGAAATGTAATATCCTGTGCTATACTTGATTAAAGCTCCCTTCTGGCACTGAACGCTATGGAAATTCAGTTTTCCTACCTGACCTTGTGAGTGCTAGATGGATGCGTTTATTCTTCTGTCCAAAACTTCTTCCTTTTGAGCATGCAGCAAATGCCAGCACCTCGTGCTACTGCTCTGAGCAGTACTTTTTAAGAAGGAGCACTGTAGCATGCCAGCTTAACCTCTAGAAAGGCATCTTAATCCAGAAATGCAATGAGCAAATTAGTTTAAATACTATGAATGACTAGTAATATCTTGCCCGCTCCACTACAGCTTTTGTCCTCTTAAGGTAACAAGTCATGATGGATGATAATGTGCTTTGTTCAACTGAAAAATTGTTTTTATATTGCAGCTTTTGTTTCCTGAGAGGTAGTGTTTAAGGAGACTTTGTATTTAATCTTAAAAAATATCTAGTTGTTGAGGCTCAGAATAAAGTGTTCTAAATAGGAATGGTCCTATTTCAGTGGGTGCTAAAGGTACTCAAAGCACACAGGGCTGGGAGGGAGGATATTGTAAAATACCATAATGAGAATTTCACAGGCCTTAGAGCACTCTGAGGAAGACCAAGAACAGCCTACGTTTGGAGGGCGCTAAGTGATAAATTTCATCACTTTCAAACTTAGAATAAAATCTTCAGAGGTTGTGATTTGTGTATCACTTTTCAGTGGGATGGGGGGTGACCTTTAAAAAAACCTCATGACTTAAATCTGTCTAGCTTAGACCTTATTTGGTATCTTTCTTCAGATTACACCAACCAAGGAATTGATCAGTTGCAAAAAGTGATTGAAACGATCAAAACCAATCCAGATGACCGGAGAATCATTATGTGTGCCTGGAATCCCAAAGGTATTGAACAGCAGCCTTTAACTGAATGTCTCACTGTATTCTAAACTATGTTCTAATCCTGTGTCAACAGCCAGTTCCAGTTGGTGTCCTTGCTTATTCTTGGTAAAACTGCCAGGGATGCAGTAAAAATGGCCAAGGGTTATAAGATTGATCCTCTGTCTACTTAATTCTCATGTTCACACCTCAAAAATTTTGAACCATTACTTCAAGGTTTTTTCTCTCCAGGTTAAAGTGGGGAATATACCTGGCTACCAGTGTCTTTGACATACAGTCTCTGTTCAAAGACAGTAGTTCTTACTTTAAAAAGGTTTAAAAAAACCCAAACAAACAAAAACAAAACCCAACCAAAAAAGAGTATACCAAAGCAGCATGTCTCTTCTAGTAAACTTAACAAAAACCTTAAAACTAGAGCACAAAAATATTAACTTGTGCTGTAATCGTCTCCTTGAACATAGGTTGTCTAGCTATGCATTGGTGCTGCAGGTCTACTTCTACATCAGAGCTATGCAATTTCAGCAGCAGCACATCTGTACACAAAAAAAAATCACCCAGGATTTTCCTCTCGTGTCTCTGAAAGGGGATGCCACAGGCTGTTGCTGTTAAGGTTAAACATTCTCAGCTATCAGGAGAGACATGGTTAAAGTTTTCCTTATCAAGCTGTAATTGCACTAGCTACACTTTTAAGTGTAGATAAACACTCAGAAGATCTTCGTTTTCTGATTATTTTATTTATTGATCATTACTTTTATGTCTCAACAAGCAGTAAAGGCACGTTGCAATGAGGGCAAAGTAAGATGGAGCATTTGGAAGTCGTTTTAGGGTACCTGCTTTATTTTACTCTTAATGTCTTCCTTTAGGGGAAATCAACTGTCTTACCAAGGTGAGTAAAACTCAACTGTTGTGCAGCATTATGGCATAAATCTATTCTGTGGAATATCTCTGTGACTTGTCTGGTCATACAGCCCAGGAGACAGCTCGTCATGACCCAGACTTAATTGCTTAGGCAGCGGGTGCTTTTAAACAAGAGAAAGCAATGGAATGATGGTGCAGTTGGATTTTTTTTTTCTCTCTGCTGTATCTCATTAAATACTTGTTCAGGTTTTGCATCTTCTGTGTTTATAACACACTAATGCTGTTATGGTGGGTTTTTTTCTCCTTCTTTCCTGTACTGCACTTCCTAGATATTTCTCTGATGGCTTTGCCTCCGTGCCATGCCCTTTGCCAGTTTTATGTTCTAAAGGATGAATTGTCTTGCCAACTCTATCAGAGGTCTGGAGATATGGGACTAGGAGTGCCTTTCAATATCGCCAGCTATTCACTGCTCACATACATGATTGCCCATGTCACAGGGCTAAAGGTAGGCTATATGGGTATGTGGCTTCACAGTTTTTGGCAGGGTGACTCTGTGATTTTAGAAAGGAGCAACAACATGAAAATAAAACCAAGATGTAACAGGCTTCCCAGGGAGGTGGCTGAGTTTTTAAAAGATGTGTAAATGTGGCACTTAGGGACACAGTTTAGTGGAGGACTTGGCAGTGTTCGGGTTAAAGCCTGACTCGCACTTTATGTAAATGATTCTATGATTCTATTTAATCGTTTTACTTAATCTTGTCTGAGAACTATTTAATTATATAAATGAAACTTACGGAGTTACTAACAATACTATTGCTAAGAAGTAAATAAAATAACAGAAAAACAGACAAATGCTACAGGATCTCACCACCTGTGGACTGACACAGCCAGGTTTTGACCATGACAAGGTGAAAAATAAATGCAAAACCCCGAGCCCAAAAAGCAGAGGGAGGAAAAACCCCCTCCTTGAGTCCAGGAGCAGAGAGCAGGGAGAAAAACTTCCAAGCCCCCTTCCCAGAGCAATTTCCCTGACAAGAGACGCTGCTTCTCTGCTCAAAAAGGCTGTGCTGCAGCTCAGAGCTGACCCACACATGCCTTCTGGGTCGAGCCTCTGCAGTCTTCCCCCACCAGCCAGCTCTCAGCGCTGCTGGTACGTGGGTGACAGTGACCACTCAGCTTGATGTATTATGGGATGAAACAAAATCTTATAGACTGGCCCCAGGAGAGCAGCTCATCGCTGCCTGGGGCCAGGACAGCAGAGTAATTTAAATGCTCCACGGTCTTGTTCAAGCAAAACACCCTTTTCTTTAGAGTGTGTAAAAAAATCATACTGGCAAGGCCATTTGGGCCTGATTCTCCTGCTACCAGTTACATGAAAGGGAACTTAAAATAGGAAAGGAGGGAAGAATCGGACTTCACAGCAATTGGCAAACATACGTAAGAAATTAGGCCAAGGTATTAGAAAAAGTGAAGTTTAACATTATGTCCATAAAGCTGCTGTTGCCTCTCAGCCACTTCCTCTCACAGCTTTGGTGGGTTTTGCCATAATATATCCGAGGGCTGAGCTACATTGGTCAGAAGCCAGTAAAATAGCCGATAAAACTTAAGCTGAGTTAAATTAGGTTGCTCAGAGGCTGCCAACTCACAGAACTTGCAGGCTTGCAAAACCCATCTGAATGCTTGATAAGTGCTTTGGGGTTTAGCCTGTGACTGATGCCTCCACTGCCACAAAGCACTAGTTTGAAGGCAAGTCCTAGAACCGGAGTGGAAAAGCTGGGTTGTCGCTGTCCTGTCTGTTTCCATCTTGGTGAGTAGATTAGTAGTGTGCCATTCATTTACTGAAGCTATTATCCTAGCAGGATTTCAAAGATAAATTTTTTGGTAAGCTTGTGGAAATTTCATTATATTTTTCATTAATTGGGCATTAGTCTGGGAAGACAGTGTCCTTCAAAGCTTACAAGGCTGTCTCAGTAATCCAGTACAGAAGCTGCAGTTCCCCACTAGATGTAAGATGCTAAGAATCAATACTGTAAGCACTGTAATATTTCGCTTTCTTGAAACCTGACTATTTGAAAACCACGTGTATTCTCCTTTCTCTTAAGCCTGGAGAGTTCATACACACACTGGGAGATGCTCACATATATCTGAATCATGTGGAACCTCTGAAAGTTCAGGTAAGTACTTATTCTGTGTTCATATATCCTTTTATCTTCCATAATGCTTACACAATACAAAGGTGTCTTGGTATGGTAAATATCCTTCTGCAAATAGTATTTTGTGAAGTTAATATCTTCTCATTTCTACCCTAACAATGGTAGTACTTAACCTCTGTTCAGCTCAGGTCACAGGCAGATATACAATGCGAACATGATTGAAATGTACATCAGTGTGCTGTTCTAGAACAAAGAGATCCAGAATCTGTACCCCTACATTTGACTTCATTATTCCAGAACCTTAGAAAGCCATTCCACCTAATACAGTTAAACACACAATAAAATGTCATTATAGTATACCAGAAAGTTATAATGGTTCACGGAGTTAATCACTACTATTTGGCTGAATAATATATTTTCTTCAGGAAGTAATTTGTTGCAGTAGGAGCAAATCACAATTTTATTTGGTTAGTCTTGGCTCAGACTGAATGTCTTCACCATTCATATGGCTCAAAAGCATCAGAGAACTAGTTACTGGTTTGGGCCAGAATGTTCCTGTGAGAAACTGCAGCACATCTGATGCACACTGGGGTCAGAATTTCCAGGTTACTTTCCTCCGGAAGGAATCTGATCTGTAACCACCGGAACTGTTCTGCAAACTGGAAATGTGTGGAGGGCTTTTGGATGATCAGGGAATCCACTTTAAAATTATGCTACTGCTCCCTGTCAAAGTGCTGAAGTAGATTTTATCTAACTGTATTATAGTTTTCTTCTTATTTTTTTGTGTGTAAATCTTCTTGGGGAGGAGGAAAAATCTACATAGTCTAATCTGAGTTAAGATTAATGAGATCTTATTTATAACAAAAAATCTCTGCCTTCAAGTATTGGCTTTATGCAATAATCTTGGTTTTATGTCAGCTTCAGAGAGAGCCAAGACCTTTCCCCAAACTCAGAATTCGTCGTAAAGTTGAAGACATCAATGACTTTAAGGCAGAAGACTTCCAGATTGAAGATTATAATCCTCATCCACCTATTAAAATGGAGATGGCTGTTTAATGCTAACAAACCAGCTTCTCTTAATGCAGAGATGTACCTAAGGTACTTAGCTTTCTGTCTGCTTAAAGCTGTGGTGGTTTTGTGTACTTCAGAAGATGCATACTTCAGTATCGAAAAGGAAGCCCGTGGTAGTAGGCCAGTCCTGCTTTACGTACGGTAGTGGTCCAGAACAAGTGATCATTTATTCCCGCTGCACTGCACAGGTGCTAACCCAGTTTGAAGTTGTTAGTGAGATTGTTCCCTCATGCTGTTGCAGTTGCCGGTGGCCACTCCTGTTACATTCAGTTGCTATGTGCGAGTAGTACTTGCTTACATGCTTTATATAGGACTGAAAATAAGAACTTCTGTGTACGACAGAGGATGCCTTCGAGGCTGTAGAAGTCTTTAAATATGTTCTCAAGAGTATATGTTTAATAAAGCTTTTTAAAAAAAAATCTTATGGAAAGGATGATGCATATTTAATTTGAGTATGTTTGTTTATAGTTAGTAGTAAGTAAAGCAAAAGTAAATCCTGTTTTACTTTAGGATCTTGGAGGGTGAGATCTATCAAGGAAAAACAAACTCAAACTTGCTGTGGTCTTCATAGAATCATAGAATCATAGAATGGTTTGGGTTGGAAGGGACCTTAAAGACCATCTAGTTCCAACCCCCCTGCCATGGGCAGGGACACCTTCCACTAGACCAGGTTGCTCAAAGCCTCATCCAGCCTGGCCTTGAACACTTCCAGGGATGGGGCATCCACAGCTTCTCTGGGCAACCTGTTCCAGTGCCTCACCACCCTCTCCGGGAAGAACTTCTTCCTGATATCCAATCTAAACCTCCCCACTTTCAATTTAAACCTGTTCCCCCTTGTCCTGTCACTACAGGCCCTTGTAAAAAGTCCTCTCCCAGCTTCATAGGTGAACCAGCAGGAAGACAGAAGGTCTGAATGGAGCTTTGTCCAAAATGCAATCTCTGTATAACATCTCTGTATCAGCTTTTTTATTTTTTATTCCCCATCCCTACATAAATGATTAATTTGATATAAATCAAACAGCTGTAGTTAAACAGAGGTTACCAGAGAGCATTAGTATGCTGGTTTTAGTTGGGATAGGGTTAATTTAGTACAATTAGTACAACGGTTAGTAGTAATCTGTCATCACTTAAAACCAGATCCTACAAACTTAGTCCAAAGTTTGCAGCCTGGAGCAGTGAAAGTTAGATACAGTAGTATTGGTAGGATTGGAGCTCATTAATTAAATCTTAGCAGAATTCAGCTTTCATCTCTCATTATCCTTGCCACTTCTGCAGTAACTTCAGTCCTTAGAAAATTCCTCCTTAGGAATTCAACTGTTGATGGACCTACAGTTACTATTCAGACATACCATATTCAATACATATTTGAACCAAGGAGAAATGCATAGTAATATTTTAATTAATTTTTAAGTCAGTAAACTGACTTTACTTCTGAAGTTACCTAGTTTGGATATTCCAGGTGTCATCTGCAATAATAATACCTCCCAGCTGTACGTTGTCAGCAACCCCTTTCCATGTGCATGCTTTTATTAAGTTAAAGGTTCTTGAGTGTATTTACAGGTCTCTAAAGTACCAGAAAGCGGTTTAGGTTGCAAATTCATGTAGCAGTTTTGCCTTAACTTGGCAAGTTAAGCTGCTTTTGCTGGAAACCTCTTTATCTAACACAGATAAGGTGGAATCTGCAGGGGCATTTTAGCAAGTGTAACCAGAGAGGGTGTGGAACAAAATGTTGGCCTCAGGGCTTGACTGGTGGGAATTAGCAGTCTCAGTGAAGTTAACCAGGACAGGAATATCCAGCCAAGGGAAGAATTTAGAGTAGGAATCAATTTACTTCCTTTCATAAATTAAAAAGGAGTTAGTCCAATCAGAAGGAAAATTAAAAAAACCCTTTTAAGAATGATTTTTATGAAACACGACAAATGGTCTGTTCTCTCGTAGGTGTATGAGCATACATAACACACTTAAACAGACCCATATGTATAGCTCTGGGAAAGCTACTGCTTTCCAGTGTAGGAATTAACTACAACTTCACTGTTCCTCTTTCAGCACAATTTACTACCAAGAGCAGTTGTTGGAAGGAAGCTTGTACCTTGAAGTCTGAGGTTTATGCTGCTCAAAAGATCAGAAAGAGGAAGAAAGCAGACCATACACGTCAGACTTTAATATGATAAAAGTGAAACTACACATATTTTAAATTAACAGGTATGAGACATGGGATTTCAAGAAAAAAAAAATACAAATATTGGAAGAATTTGAATGTATGAACTTAAACAGGAGGTACTCGAGGAACTTTGCTATGCAGAATATGAAGGCTGGTTGCTGCTGCAAAGGTGACTACTCTGACTGCAGGCTGTATTCAGAGCGGTATTTTAGACAAAACACGGGGCATGGTTACATCCTTTGGGGAAGCTATGGAAGGAACCCGTACTGAGAGAAGGGGGCATTCTTGGACTTATTTCCTGATGAATCAGCTGTCCCAGCAGCTCCCGGTCCCTCGCACTCCCCAGCTGGTGAGTTAGAGCACTGTACAGCTGGCATTAGAAACCGGTTTCTTCCACTGGCTGTGCATATCCATAGCATTTCTGGGTCTTTGTCCTGCTGACTGCTCTGCTCCTTCTGCCTCACGATTTGGCCTCGAAGAGTCTCTTTTCTTTTGTCATTCCTCCTCTGAATTTCCCTGCTTTCCAAGGGCAATTCAATCAAGTTGGAGAGAGCAAAGAAATTTCTTACGCTTGGTCAAATGCCAACCCCCGCTGTGTTCTACCTTTCTTAGGTGTTTGTAACTCCCGTTATTTCTGACCTGTGATGATATGTTGCAAAACTGGCCTTATTGCAGCACCAGAGAGAACATTAGTGATCTCACCATGACAGATGAGGGGTCAGTAAAGAAGGAACTGTTTCGGAATTTTGAGACAAACACCTACCTTATCAGCCTTCAGAATCAGTAGTCTGTTAATTAGTCTGACTTGATAAGCTTGCCACCATGGTGACTGGCATCTGTGCAATGTCTGAATATGGAATACAGCCCAGGTTTCGAGTACCTTTAGCAAAACCACAAACACTTGAAGAGCAATCCACGCTTCTAACTGCCCTTTGTAGCCCACAGATTGTTGGGTAACGAGACAAATGCATGCTGTGACCACCATGGGGCGACAGGTTTTCTAAGAGAGAAAAGAATGAGCACCACAGTGAACTGCTGCTGGAGTAGTTTGTATAACTAATCTGCTTTCAAGGCTTTCAAATCCTGGGATGTTATCACTGGACTAATTTACAGAGACCCCCCAAGTCCATACTATGGAAAGACAGCGCCCGATAGCAAGACATCAGGAGTCCTTTGGTGCAGCCCTACAGCATGACTTGAAACAAAGAAAACTACAGCAGAGCTTGCAGCCTATGCTCAGGAATCACAAGCATGACAGCTGAAAAAATCAATATCAGGCTAGCTTGGATGGTGGGGAGAGGAATATTTTCTCATTGCTGCTGCATTTTGCAGAGCCTTACTCTGGAACTTTTTGGCCATCACCAGCACAGACAGATTTTCATTCACACTTCCCAGCCTGCAGCTGTCAGTTTGGAGATCAAGGCTTTAGCTTGCAGAAGCTGTTTAAATATTCCGTTGTGGCAGCGTAAGGGGACAAATAAAGTTAAGAACCGTAGTCTCCCAAATTAACATATTATAAGAGCTGCTGGCAACTCTCATAAAAACATTTGTAGAGTGTCCCTCCTATGTGTCTCAATCCGAATTATTTTAATTACCCCATTTAAATGAGAGATCGCATGAGAATTTGTGTGAAGTGAAGCTCAAGGATATTGCTGATATTAAAAATACTCAGCTTGTGGCTGTAATGTTAAGAGCACTACACCTGACACAATGAGCTGAGTGGGCCGAAAGGCCATAGTCGTACTGGAATGAGTTTGGAAATTACTGCCCCTTAACTGGATGTTGAACCCCATAAGTGAATGTGAAGCAAAAATGCCAAGTGAAAATGGCTTTTCCATTCTAGGACAAGGACAGGGGCTTAACCTACACAAAGGTAGTACAACAAACCTGTAGTGAAACCGTTACGTAATACTGATTAGGCAGCTCTGCTTCAAAATCTTTTCAGGAATTAGGCTCTTAGGAGCCAACTCACCCCCCTCTTGTCACCCAGCTGTGTCCCCAGGCAGGGATTTGGGGTACCCTCGGGATGGGACTGTCTTAGCCCCACATCAGCATGCTCAGGACCGCACAGCTTCGGGATGTGCTTGCCTGTGTGAATGAGCAACTATTCCCATTTTGAGCCAGCTGAAGTGAATATAGCACTGTGTCATGGTTTAACCCCAGGCAGTGACTGCGCACCACACAGCTGCTCGCTCACTCCCCCCAGTGGAATGGGAAGAGAACCAGAAGAGTAAAAGTTAGAAAACTTGTAGGTTGAGATAAGGACAGTTTAACAGGTAAAGCAAAAGCCACGCACGCAAGCAAAGCAGAACAAGGAATTCATTCACCCCTTGCCATGGGCAGGCAGGTGCTCAACCATCTCCAGGAAAGCAGGGCTCCATCACGCGTAACTGCTACTTGGGAAGACAAATGCCATCACTCCAAATGTCCCCCCTTCCTTCTTCTTCCCCCAGCTTTGTATGCTGAGCACGACGTCACATACTATGGAATATCCCTTTGGTCAGATGGGGTCAGCTGTCCTGGCTGTGTCCCCTCGCAGCCCCTTGTACACCCCCAGGCCACCCGCTGGTGGGGTGGGGTGAGGGGCAGAAAAGGCCTTGACTCTGTGTAAGCACTGCTCAGCAGTAGCTAAAACATCCCTGTATGGTTAACAGTGCTCCCAGCACAAATCCAAAACACGGCCCCATACTGGCTACTATACAGAAAATTAACTCTGTCCCAGCCAAAACCAGCACACAGTGATTCTGCTGTGGGAAATCATTCCTTCTGGAGACCAGTCCAGCCAGATGAGAGATGGCCTTGTAGACAAGATACGCTTGGATTAGAATCAGGATTCAATTTCTAGCTTTGTTACAGATTTCCTGTCTGGAGCTTGGCTAAGTTGTTCAGTCAGT